TCCATAATAACGTTCTCAAGCTCAATGAAAATTAAAAAAAAAAATCAGTTAAAAAATTTATTTCAATTATACTTTTTTGCCACTGAGAACAACCGTGTTAAATAAATTTCCAATGTATTTATTTAACTTAGCAATTTTCTGTTGGACGCAGAAGTGTTCCTAGAGCATCTAGATTAGTGCTAGGCAAAATACATACGCACATGGCAAATAAAGCGCTCATTGCCTCGTGAGGCTACTGGCTGCCTGGCACTCTATTAAACTGAGCAGATGGCCCGTAGTCCTATCGCCGAGGTACTGGCAACTCCGATGTAACCTCGAAAAGGGTTCAAATGGTGCGTAGGGATAGATTCTAAGATAGCCGAGGGAACGAAGTGGCGACACAGCCAGAACCCGTTATTATTAGGAACTTTTGTACCAAGGTGCAGTGAGCACTTATTAGAGAAGCATATATGATCTTGGGATATCAGAGTTAGAAACTTATTCTAGGGATACAAAATATCTTCTAGTTCTCAGTTTCCTTTGTTCTGTTGCATCTCATTCATTAACTACTCATAAAAAAGTAATATTAGTCAGCTAAGCTTTCAAACTATCCGTGTTTTTTTTGTCTAAACTAGGGTGCAGAAAACAGCACTCAGATTACAAGCCGTCTATTGTAGTAGTTTCGTATTCCCTCTTAATATGTTTTAAATCTAAACGATTTACAAAATAAATCGGAGCAGATTATTGGATATTAAAGAGTTATGGTCTTCGTCTATTTATCAACACCTCGCTGCCAAACGTCTCATACCTAATTCTTGCAAAGCTGGGGCGGAAGCACAAAGAGTGTTCCGCCATATCATCCTCTTCAAGACAGGAAAGTAAAATGGAGTTTTCATGTGTGCCTATTAAAGTTCCACAAGTTGTCTGCTTAATCAAAGCAAATACCTAGCAAGACCCTCTAAGATTGCGGGCAACATGGGTTTAGCCCACTTGAAGTGCCTCGAAGCCTACCAGTGTATTCACCCAGTTACCTACTGTGGCTTCGATGGCCGGAGGTGGGTAGGCTATAACTACTTGCAGACCGTGGAATAACTGGACCGAGTCATATAATCAGATGTCTCATTAGTAGTATCTACTACTACTTAGTATCTACTCTACTGAACAAACAAAACTAATGAAAAAAATTAACAAACTGAAAAATAAATTATCAAATTTGATAAAGAAAGAATAAATTAACCAATTTTGGTAAAAAAAATTACCAAAACAACAATGTTTCTGAATAAAAGCCAGCACTTAAATATATTTTACTTTTTAGCTCGATTTATTGAATTTTAAATTTAAATGTATCTACAATTTTTACAATTACTTTTGGCATTTAGGGTTATCATATTTTAGTGTTTTCAAATTCTTGGACATACATACATATGTACTGTCAGTACATAAATGTGCTTCTTCTAATTTATCATAATTACATATTTTATTATAATATTGGTTTTTTAAATTTTAAATATACATTTTAATTCTTTTTTAAATTAAATTAAGTTGGCAGAAGTTCTTTTATATTTTTTGTTTACATTTTCTTTCAGTTTTACTGAATTTCTTTTGTTTTTAACAAGAAAACACAATGAATAATTTGATTTTAATTTGCTATTAGATATATTTGCAATAAATAAAGTATTGTCACATACTAAGAATATACAAAAAAAAATGTTACAAAAATTATTACCGTTATGATCATGTCTTTACTTATTTTAAATGCATATGTTTCAAATAAATATCTTTTTAAATTATAATGATGATGAGTAAAGGTTTTTGGCTTTTTTCAGAATATCCCCGGGTTTACGGGTTTTTTAAGTGAGTCTTTTTATAATTTTTTTTTTACATTTAAGGATTTATTTTTATCCGTTCTATTTTGTCTTAAGTACATACAGATAGCCATATATTTTTTATTACTATTTTGTCCTAATACATAAATTTATAGAGTTTGAAAATTTTTAATTTTTTTTTATATTTAGTTGCATTTAAATTTAATATTTGCAAGTGTTTGTTGTTGCCATTTAAACAGCATACATACAAATCGCTATATATGGTTGTACATAAAAATATTTTGTACAAATCCAATTAATAAATAAAAAAGTTATTTAATAAATATTTTTTTTTTATTTGCTGGCATGCGCGTATTATCCGATAACATTAGTATTAAAATTAAATTGTTGGGAAAAATAAATTTAAATGTCTTTTACATACGCATGTATGTATGTATTTAGTACAGATTCTATGCGCATTTTAGGTATCATCCTATATATGATTGTTTTCAAAAATATATACATATCCAGATAAATGCAGTTGTAAGTACATATACAATACGTCTGCAGGTGTCAGTTCGGTGTCAACGGTCGATGCTACGCCGTCATTTGTAAGTACATTTATAATCGTTTGATGCAATGTCACGTCAAGTCATGTTGTGATGTTTCCAATTATAGCAACTAATTTGATGTCATGTCGAAAGATATTATGTCTGGCCTTTGTTTTTAAAATGTATAGTCTTATGCAGTGTATATAATTCATAAGTCATAATGGCGCATGGGATAAAACATCATGGTAATACTGTGTGTTATGCCATCATGTCTTGTGATGTGATGTGATTTAGTTTTATAATATGAAAGTAATATTTTTTATTTTTTATTTAGGACCTCTTCATATATGCATACATATGTATGTAAGATTGCGCATCGTGTTACATCATATGCTATCTAAATAGCAATGTGTGATAACAAGTGATGGCACATCAATCCTAATGCATGATGAGACATTATTCGTTAGCATGCCTACTTCTAGTATGTGATGAAGCAGCACATGATATTTGCATTTGATTTTATGTCATAGTAAAATTATGAATACATATCACATGAAAAACATCGTGTGATGTTATTTGAATTGAAAATGACATCACATGTGATATACATACGTAATATCAAACTACATAATTGATAACTCGCGATCGTTTCTTCATATGATGAGACAACAATGGCCAACTTGTGATGAGACACTAATTCTATTTCATCATAAAACATCATACGTTATAGTGTCAATCATACATAGAATGTGATATAACTTCAACATTGTGTCATCACATGATATGATCATGCCATCACAGATACAAGTGATGTCTAATTTCTGATATAATGTAGTTTTTTTATGAAGTTTGCAAGTATAGTAATTTTATAACATAATTTGCCAATAGCACGAAACATGTGATGTTATATTGGATCAATCATACATATGTATGTATACTATATTGTCGTGAGATTTTAAATTTTGAATGTAATGAATTGTGATTTTATGTCATGCTATTTGAAGTTCCACTTTGTTTTGAGTAGTCAGTCATCTCTGTGTATAATGTGTGTTATTGCTATCGTTAGTTGTAATGATTTGATGGCAATGTTTTTTTTCTTTTTACAGCAACTATAATTTTTTTGTTATGAATAACTATGCAGTTTATTTTATGTTTATAATAAGTGTGTATTTATACATATAATATAAAAAAATAAATAAATAGCTAATAAATAAATAAATAAATAAATAGATAAATAAAATGTTATATATAAATAAAATTCGAATAGCCAGTTTCACGAAAGCCAATTAAATGAAAAATTAAGTATTATTTTCGAATTAAATATGAGAACTGGCAGAAGAGAAAAAATAATTTTTCACTTAAATTGCTTTCGTTAAGTTGGCTGTAATTATCATTGGTAATCATAAGTAACATAATGCATGTGTACATGATAATGCTATTCGCTTGCGTTACATTGTTCAGATTTTTGTGTTTTTTTTTTTTGCAATAATCGTTTTGGAGTGCTTGTAAACAAATTTGGTTTTATATGGCCAATAACTGTGATTTGTAAAATTAGAGATTGTGTGAAATTTGACTTTAAATATAGGAATACATATCGAGCGCTTATATTCGATATGATCTAACTGACAGAATTAAAACTCTAACTTACAGAATTAAAATTGCCACCAGTGATGACAGTTAAGCCTCAAAAAGGTTCTAACATCAAGAAGGAATTTTTGTATATAAAGTGCAGATATGTAGGTCATATTGAATATAAGCGCTCGATATATATACATACATATTTTTTATATTATCCGAATACAAAAAAACAGAAATCATAAATGGAATGGAAAAGAGCTACTCTTAAATCCCGCTTTTATTTATGCAGTCTACGCATTGTTTATATAATTTTGTCCGCGCCTTCTCATGCCTAGGGCTGCCAACCACTTAACACGTTCGCTTCTATTGAGATTTTATATACATATACATATATGTACACTGTCGGAACAAAGTATTGACACAGCAAATTTTTCACAATTTTTATTTCGCCAATTTTGTATAAAAATTTGTTTTTTTTTGTTGAGGCTGTTTTGAATATTTTCCATATAAAGTATTTTCGAAAAAAAATTTTTGCATGGAAGAGACTGTGTGAAAAAAAACGTGTACTTTATTATAATAAAATTGATTGGGCTACAATGCTGCATACCCAAAAAAATTCTAAAAAATCTGATTAAAAAGTTGAAAATTTGCTGAATTTTCGCAAGTTTTGCACAAAGTTTAGGTATTGTATTTTTATGTTTTTTTTTTTGTAGAATGAACCATATTTTTATACAAAATTAGCGGAAAAATATTAGAATAAAATTTGCTGTGCCAATACTTTGTTACGGCAGTGTATGTATTTAATAATATGATTGTTTACACAGCATATGTATTCTTTGTTTTTGTTTGTTCTCTATTTAATTTTCATTTTATATTTTATTTTATTTTTTACTTCGCCTTTCGCAATTTTCTTTAAAATTTTCAATGCAATTAAGTCGAAACATATTTTTTAGCGAAACAACACCATCAAGTCTGTCACCAGCTGCGCTTAAAACACATTTTTCAAATAAAATTATTAATAAAGGTAATACATAGTAAGTAAGTAGTAAAGTATTGTCATGAGTAAAAAGCAAAAGCTTGGCAAACTCAGAATAAAAATAAAGCATAAATAGTACATATGTATGCGCGTACATATATAGTCTCTAGCCGAAAAAATAAAAAATTAAATAAAAAATAGCACATCCAAATTCACTCACAACCCGTTATTAAGTAACGCCATCTTCATCTCTTGCTCCTGCCTGGCATCGACATTGGCCCGGTTTGCGCTGAAACGGTGTGACGACGGCCTCTTAGGCTTATGTACTTGTATGTAGGTATGTATTTATACCATAGTATCCTTATTTACATATTTCCTTCGTGTAAATATCTTGGCGCACTGCACATTTCCATCAATTTCTCATAGAGTTTATCGAGATATTGAAAGAAGCTGATACTTTCGGCAACTACCAACCAATCTAACACTTGCACCGTTTCATTGTAAGAGATGCTATTTTCATCAAAGTCTTCCAATGCAACATTGAGCGTTGCAATCACAGAATTTGTAGCCTTTATATTAGCACTGAGGTGACTACCCGTGTGATTGAGGTATTGTGTTACATTTTTGTAAGCGTCGTCTTGCCATTTCTTATCGAGCGCATTATAGGTGCGGTTATGAATAACTTGCAACATTCGGATAGTTTTATAAATTTTATTCAGTTCAGTTTGAATCTAAAATAATAATAATAAGAAGCAGATAAAGAGAGTGAAAATAAGGCATGATTAGTTTATGATTTATTTGTAAGTGCATTTAGTTAGGCTTCAGATTTAACGGCTTCTATTAAACGTGTATTTGTAATGCTTACCAGTTTTTCATTCAAAGTTGTGATTCCATTTTCCAAATGACTTATGTCATGATGGACCTTTTCTTTGGTGAATTCGCGATCCATTAACTTTGTATAAGGATGTGATAAATTCAATTTGTATTTGCTCCATTCTTCTAATGCTATTTCTGGTGTGAGATTGAAGCGTGGCTCGGTCTGAAAAGAGATGAGAAATGGATTATCAAAATGTTTGAAAACGTAAGCGACTATTTATTAATTAAAATTCTTAAACTCCATATTAGGTATATATGTAATAGTAATATATGATTATTAACATTATAAAAATGCCTACATTAGCCTAAATTCCGCTTGAAAAGTTTGCAAAGGGCTTTTAAGAAACCGAAGGCCGTTGGAAATATCCAAAAAGGAAACACGATTTTCTTCTAAAATTAGAACGCCAAAAAGTGTTTTGATGCCTTCAAAAGCTTTGAAAAAAAAATAATTAACTCTTTTACAAAAAGTTTGATTGTTATGCAAAAGTCTTTTTATTTGATGCAGGAACTAAAACATTAAGAAAAGCTTGATATCTTGGAAAGCTAAAAAATCCAAAAGGTTTTAAAGCTGAAAAGCTTAAAAACGTTTGGTTGGAATCAAATTCATATACCGTTTTTTTAAAGCAGTCGCAACCTAAACGAAGCCCGCGAGCAGAGCTTTTTAAACTTTTCAACGATTATAACCAGTGAGGATGAAAGAGAACTTTTATCCTGTACAATTTCAATTCTTCATGAAGAAATTACTTAATATAATATTCTTCAGGAACTGAAACATTGAAAACACGCTTGATATTTTGAAAATCTAAACCCCAAAAAGGCTTTACAGCTTAAAAGCTTAAAAAATTATAGGTGTTATTAAATGCATATAGCATTTTTTTCTGATAGGTTATAAACCCGTGATGAACAATTAGAACTTATACTGTGTTCCCTTCCAACGTTTCAAAATGAAAAAAACTTCACATAATAACTGAGCTCTCCACGAACTAAAACATTAGAAAAAGATCAATATTTTGAAAACTTTTAAACCAAAAGAGCTTAAAAGCCTGCAGTTTTTTGCTGTATTGAAATCCACATAGCGTTTAATATAAAGCAGTTGTGAATACAATGCAGTGATCTAAAAGGACTTTTACGGTGTGCTTTTCCAGCGCTCCAAAAAGAAAAACGTTACATAATAATTCAAAAGCTTGAACCTTGAAACACTTTAAAACCCAAACTGCTTTAAAATTTAAGAATATTCTGATTGCAGTGAAATGCGTATAGCGTTTAATTGAATATAGTCACAACTAAAATGTAGCAGGTAGGCTCTTTATAGATCATAATCCTTTGAAATCCTGAAAAAAAACGTTCACTTAACAAAGCTGTCAAGACTGTTATAAATAGACACGTACAAGATAAAGGCAGTCTCTGGTCGTCACTGCACCTGTCTATATCTGTGATGGCCAGTGCAGAAGAGAGTGTGAGATGACCAGAGAGAGCTTTTACAATGTGAAAAAGCTTCTTTTGCTGGTCTACAGTCGCGTCCAAAATGGGCGCGTGCAGAGAAAAACTCTCTAATTGTCATTAATAGATAACCATCGAAAACTGATGAGCACGAAATTTCTCGCGTACAGAGCTTCTCAAGGGTTTCTTTATATCTCTCTACACGTTTTTCTGAAGTGATGAAATGTTAGAGTTTATTTGTTGGGGTTTTGAATTTTGCCAATACGTATCTATGTATGTATGTAAGTATATAAGCATGTATGTATGTACTTCTAATTTCTCATATTAATTCAGTTTATACAAATTTACTTACGAATTTCTTATACACAAAATTATTAAGTGCATTAAAAGATGTGCGCGCTTGTTTTCTCAACATGGAGATATGTTCCACCACCTTCGCGCAGTTCATATCCAGAGAACGAGTATTTAAATGATGGCGATGATGTACTGGTGCAGTTTGTACAGGCGCAATTTCGCTCTCGTAGCGCAACAGATTCTTATGATGAAGCATACGATTTTCGAGCGTATGAAGAAGCTTTCGGCCGCGTATAGACCGACCTGAAGCACCGGAGACAAGCGCGAGTATGGCAAAGCAAATGATGGGCAGGAATGCAACGGATGCTGTAAAGAGAAGACGAATTTAAAATTTAGTAAAAAATAATTTTAAAATTTAATTTAATATCTATTTAAATTTGATATGTGAGCCGTTATTTTTTAGGTGGCATAAGTCACTTCACACCTTTTGTGCTTAAGTGACCGGCTACTTGTATCTGAACGCGTCGGTTATTCGTTCAACTTCATCAACCAAAGGTAGAAAGGTAGGTTTTGTCATTTAAAGCTGCTAAACAACGATGATGACCTTGCTAAAAAGCGTTAGGCTTTATTCGATTATAGTCCGGTTAACAAATTAGAAAGTTATAGGGGGTGCATAAAAATAAAAATTTTACACCAAACAAGTTTTTTCTCGACATACATAAATATTCATATAAAACTGACACACGCTAAACTTTTTTTCGTGATACACCTTAATGCATGCATGTACATGTCTATATATTTTTAAGTGCATTTAAATAATCAAAGCAGCCCATCACTTTGCCTTTGCAACTTCACGACCCACCTGCACTATTAGCCAAGCACACAACGCACCTATACATTTACATAAGTAGTTACGCAAATACAAAAGCAAAATGATGCATACACATGCTCACGAAAGGCAAAAGCCGTGTACACATACATACACACACTTATAGTTGGGGGACCTCTTTGGCCAACTGCACTAAGCGCCAATGAGAGCTGCGTAATTATCGCACACTGTAACAGCTTAAAAGCTAATGCAATAGACACATACATATGGATGTATGCATGTACACATGTATGTAGTAATGTTAGCTGTGACAGTTAATGGCTTAAATAAAAAATAAAAAAAACATTAGCTGATCTTCGCTAGCTACTCATAGACGCACTGCAGCAAATGCACACTTTTTCGTGCGCATGTTTTTTGTTGTACTTTGCGTACTTGTGCGCAATTAGTGCGGCGCATGCGCGCACATAATTATTTGCAGAATGTTTTAAAGATCTCAAGTTGGCACAAAGTAGTTAGACTAGCACGGTGGCATGCGGCATGATCGATTGATCGATCGATCGAATGCTATCGCTTTGGATATGTATCTATGCATTTGTAGATGTACGGTATATTTCTGTAGGCATTCCCCGCACTTAATAGATGATCGAATCTAGACATACATATGTACAAACTTAGACTTAATCTCTTTAGGCGGGCAATTCAAGATCAAGGCAAATACCGCCACCAATAGAAATTGGCTGCTGGTTGGTGGTAACTTATAGCAAAATGGCAATGCCAGCACTGCTGCAGGAATTGTCGTGTAAAATGCATACCACGCATGCGTCGACTGCAATATTCATTTGTCTGCTATGCGCGCGCGCGCGCGCGTCCGCTCGCTTGTGTGTTGGCCTGCCATAGCTGAGCATTAGAAATTTGCTAATTATCCTTAATTATTAAACAGTTCGATATCAAAGTGGAGTGATCTTGGTGAGAGATAGTAAGTTAGTTATATACATACAAACATATGTTTGCTCGTTTTGTTTGTGGGTTGCACGCTTGCAATGTGTGGTGTATGTATGATCATCGTGTGAGGTCTAAGCAGCACTTTCTAAACAAAGCGGCCGCAACTACGGCGGGCCAATTAATCGATAATATGATCATGAGCGAGCAAGTATGTAGTGATCGCGACTACGGAATGCGCTTTACAAGCGGACCTTTTTTATTAGTTGAATAGTAGTGTGTGTTTGTAAAAGCTTGAATGAAAAAAATTCATTAAACATTTTTTTTTTAATCATATGGTAGTTCAATAGAACTATCCAAAGTAACTAAACTAACAGATCTTATGATTTTTTTAATTTCCACGAAATTTTTATATTTTTTTTATTATTTTTGTAATATTTCTTTAACCTTTAGTTTCTTTTAAATTTGTGGATCTGAATTTTTTTATAATATTTTTAATTTGTTTTTTGTTATTTTTTGGCCATTTAACAATTATATTCAACAATTTTATAATGAGCTCGAGGCCATTTTTAAATGAAAAAT